GCAACCAGCGATGCAGACGAGGCACGACGCTCCACAGGAACGCCACGCCCACCGCACAGCGTACCTGTACAGCTGCAGCGCGAAGGGCAGGGTGGGACCAAGTCCCCCGCACAGTCTGCCGCTGCTGCCTCTCCTCAAAGCAGGCTGCAATGGGTGCCGCCCCACGCACCCTCGCGGCGAGACGCGACTCACACTCCGTCCATTCTCCCCCTCCGCAGCGGAGAACCAAAAGAATCCTCCTCGTGCACTACCTGCGCCTCTCGCAGAAACAAAAAGAGGAGTGGGGGCATGTCAGCAACACAGCCAGCAGCGGCAGCAAACACAACACGCAGCGACAGCGGCTGGCACGGCGCAAACCAAAAGTGAGCCGCAAGGATTTGCCAAACTAAAGTAAAATCAAAAAACAAATTAAGGTGTAAGCCCAGGAGGACTCCTGGCGGAAACAAAAACAATATAAATGAATTACTTCAGCAGGCGCTTTCACTTCACATACCCTAAAGCACAAGAGGGCTGTGTGTGAGCGTACTCATTGCCTGCAAGAAACGGAAAAGAACTGCCTGTTCACACGCATCACCGCTGCACCTCACGCACGGTCTCCGCGGCCTCGTGTCTCGTTTGGGCAGTCCGTGCAACGCATAGCCACGAGGCCGGCAGCGTGCGTGTGTTGATGGCAGCGGCAAACAGGAGGGGGAAGGGACGCCACCCATTGGGATGTGCGTAGCAAACGACCATTGAAACAAAAGTGAAAACAAAAAGCAAAGGGACACCCCTCAAAGCACAGGAGAGGAGTTGGCCCACAGAGACGGCACGCAAACTCGGTGCACAAACACTCCGCGTCGCCCCGCCAGGGTGTGTGTGGGTGTGCGGGTCCCCGCAGCAGTCACTCCCCAGCAGCACATGCAACAGCAGCCGTCAGCAGCAGCAGCAGCGTGCCACGCACCCACACAGTGAGCGTGCCGCTGCCGTCCGCGTTGCCTTTTGTGTGTTTCCCACCACTGGGGCTGCTGCTGGTCGTGGTTGTAGTGGCGCTTCCACCATCGCTGCCAGCGGGAGTGTTGGAAGTGGAGGTGCCGGATGGCTGTGCGGAGGCTGAGGGTGCTTGCGCCGCACCGTCTCCTGTGGCTTTTGATGAATCCGCACCGCCAGTCGGTGATGTTAATGTTCCCTGACTCCCTGTGGGTCCCGCACTGCCTGACTGCTCAGCAGCATTAGGAGGAGAGACTCCAGTACTTGCACTGCTGCCTGCCAAACTGCCATCGTGGTGAGTTCCCTCCGAAGATGACGTTGTTTCTGTTTGTGATGGTTGGACCACCGGAGGTTGATCTCCAGGCGTCGGTCCAGTTGCGGGTTGATGGGATTGTGGTACCACACACACGCCAGAAGTGCCAAGTAAATCGCCACGAGTTCCGTCGAGGGTAACGGTTTTGCCTTTCAGCTCCTCGGTAGATTCAGCGCTCTCTGCCGTAAAATACATCGTGAACGCAACTGCATTACCGTTCTCCCCTGCTGAGGAAGTGCAGTTCGAGTGGCAGCTGGATAACAGGTACAGTGATTCGGCAAGGAGGCAAATCTGCTCACTGCCACTCTTGTCTGCACCGGCCATCTCGGCCTTACGAAGCGCATAATAATTCACTGCCTGCGGACACTCCTTCCAATCAGAAGAGGCCTCGCCAGGAAAACGCAAACTTAATTTCCCTTCATTGTTCTGACACGACACCTCCACCGCATAGAATTCTGATGAAGTCGCCCCGCACACGGAGGAGCAGCAGCCGCACAGCAGCGCAAGCACCGCCAGGGCATACACCGCACGGCGCCGCACTGTCGCCATCGCCATCCGTCGTGGTGTTGGTGGTTGTGGTGGTAGCAGAGTCGCTGCGAGCACTGGGCTGATCTATCAGGCATCGGGGGCGAAAAGCGAAAGGCAAAGGCAGTGACGAGTACAGCGGCGGAAGGGCAGAGAGAAGAAACAAAAAGGGCAGCAGCTCCCCGAGCTCACGGAGAGGAAAAACTCGGCCCGCACGGCACCACCGGCACAAATAAATATAAATTCACACCCCAATTTATATCGTGTGGCTGTGGCCGGGTGGGTGCCCGCAAATGCGCAAAGCAAAGACGGCAGGAGAAGACCAGCGGGGTTGGGGAGGGTGCGGCAGTCCCGCAAAAGATTGAACACGTCGAGGAGGCCGCGCCCCAAAAGAAAGGCATCGCGCCCGCCAGCGCAGCGC